CCACTTGTTTTTGTTACTTCCCTTTTATTTTGCACTCGCTTTTCTCTCTCGTTTTGCCATTATTTCTTTCCCCTTAATTTTCTTTTATTTTCTCTCCTCTTTTTCTTTTTCATTTTATGGTTATGATCGAATCCTATGGGGATTGCCTACGTAACATGACGCCGCATGAATCAGATCATTACGTAGTTCAGGGGATAAATGCAAAATAAAATAAAGATATATTTTTTGGGTTTTCAAATTTTCATAAAATAAAATAAAAATAAAAACATCCTGATTACAATGACTTCTCCTATAGAATTAAACATAAAAACTAACAGACTCGAAAGGTGGACTAATAGACTCCAAAAGAAAATTGAAAATACAGACTCAAAAGTAGACTAATGAACTCCAAAAGAAACTGAAAATACAGACTCGAACAATAAAATCAGAAATACATGAGTGCCTCAACTGCTACTCTAGGGGCCCGCGGGACATCAGTCAGTCTCATCGCGGGCCTATGCGCCATATCTTCTTGGAGGCGAAATAGGTCATCCATGATTTGCCGGACAAAAATCATAACTGAAGTGAAGAATATGGACCTGATCATGTCCTCGCATTCATTGCACTTCATCACAATGTAGTCCGCAATCCTCCTAACCCTCTCCCTGATAATACCCTTCTCTTGTAGCAACCGTCTGATCTGCTGTGATCTGGCCCCTAAAACTTGTTCGGCTGTATGATTTTGCTCTTGAAGCTGCTGAAGGTCTTTTTCTAGCTGCGACATCAGGGCATAGCAGTATTCTCTTTCCGCTTTGAAGTCTCTTGCCTGCTTGGTCATTTTGTTCTCAAGGACATTGACCCTTTTCTTCAGACCCATGATTCCATTGTCATATTTTCCTTTTAATTGTTGGACAAAGCATGCTCTTTCCTCCGCATTCTTAGCCAATTTTGTTCGAGCCTTTGCCAGTTCGCCCTCAGTCATTTTCAGATCAAAACCATATTCACCCACTTTTCGCCTAAGGTTATCTATAAGCTTTTCATCTTTTGTACTTCCGACGGGGTTCTTGGCTGTTATTTTCATTTCCTGAATTTGGGCTCGGAGGGCGTCATTTTCTTTGGCTAACCTTTTCTTTTCACCCTCATCCAGGGCAGCTTGCAAACCATTCTCAAATTGAAGATCACTGACTTGCTTTTCCAACTTGCATATTGTGGCCCTGTACTCATTCTCCTTGGTCAACCAGGCCCACTGTTCGTACGATGCTTCGACAAATTCCTGGATGTAGGGCCTTTTGGTTGGTCTTTCAGGTTCGACCCTTGTAGTGTTCTTCTTTCTGTACCAAGCAAGATAGGTAGGTGAGACCTCGCCTTTAGACAAGTCACACACTCGGGTGTTTACTGTCAAATACTGGCACTCGTTCCAAATATGAAGAACTGTTTCTTCATGAAATTGGCCGTCAGAGCTAATTTCGACCGCATAAACACTAAGATATTCATCCGGGTGCACCACCTGGCATCTTCCCAACTGTCTCCTCAGCCGGTATGGAGCATAAGGTTGAATGCTTCGAAGGCCCATTAGGAGGAAGTAAAGACCGGTGGCAGGCATATACACAACTTCTTCAATAGGAAACCAACCCAGTGTCCACTCTATTTGTCTCGCTGTTATGGAGCGAAGACGGGATACCCAATCTCCAAACCCTACTGGCAAATTGAACCCTGAGACCTTTGTGTCGAACTCTTCAATGCAGCTCTTCTTCCCCGTAGATCCGTAATTCATATATCGAGGGCGGTGACACAGATGCTCAGTCATCCACATTTGTAGTAGCAAATTGCACCCCTTGAAAAAGTCTACCCCATCTTTACAAGCCATGAGATCTCGGTATATCTCAGATACTATCATAGGGGTGAGGGTGCTTTTGGCGTTGGTAATCAAAACATTGACAAATCCAGCTACCTGCATATCAATATTCCCATCCTTCCGGGGAAACACCACGAGACCTAAGAGAGCTAACATGAAAGCGAATCCCTATGCTCATCCCATTTTGATCGGTTCCCTTTGCTACAAATCCCACTTTTCGGGTTGTCAAATCTTTCTACATGCTCGTACCTCTGGTATATGAAGCGTAGAGTGGAAAAACCAACCGCCAAATCTACATACTGGACCAACCTGCTTATTTTTAGAAAATCCAGAAACTTGTGAGGGGTAATGGCCCTTGGAACGACCAGGTACTTAAGCCTTAGACCTTCAGTACTTCCTATATAACCCGCTATCTCTTCCAAGGTAGGTGTGAGTTCAAAATTTGAGAAATGTAGGACGTTGTGAGATGGGTCCCAAAATGTTACCAGTGCCCTTATTATGTCTCCTCTAGGCCTAATCTTCAGCAATCCGGTGAGCCCTCCCAAATAAAGGTTGACCACATCTCGTCCTTCTTTACCCAAATCTTCCCACCACATGTGTAGATCCAACGGAATCTTGGACATGACCTTCATTGGTAAATTTTGACTCGTGCTCATTCTGCACATTTAGATTAAGGCGATTGGTTTAAAGACAAAGTGAATCTTATTTGAAAACTGACAAAAGGCTTATTTTTACAAAAAATAAAATAAATCAGGGCTACTTTTGGGAATACGGCCTTTCATTACTTCGGAATGAAAGTTCTTAGAGATTTGTTCGCTAGATGGCCAAAATTAATAAAGAAACCGTTGGTTGCTATTTTTGCAAAGTAGCCTTCCGGTGTCCCGCTGGGACATTCGGCTATTTAGACAAAACGGCATCACCTACTTATTTACGACAAGAATGATGGCATTTCATATATTTTTTCAAAATTTTTCAAAAAGCGGGGCTGGACCCAATGATGGTTGCCTACGTATCGGTGAGAATCAAACCCACGTAGTTCGGCCAGTTTTGACACGAGGAGGAAAAACATAAACCATTTTGAACTAACTCTTTTCTTTCTCAAGAAACCCCTTTTTCCTTCTTCTTTTTTTCAAGAAATCTTTTTCTTCTCTTTTTCTTTCAAAAATTCGACAGAGTTTCGGCATATTTTGGACACCATTTTTGGAAACGAGTGAAATCCTCTCTCATACCTCAAACTTGGTTTTTCTTTGATTTTCCTACCTAACCCAGAATCCGGTCAACATGCAAGCCGAAACAAATGAATGCACATGTAGCACGTAAAAAATGCATCAGGTTGGTCTTTTATTTTCGGTCACACCTGTCCTAGACGGACCCAACCCCTGTGTTGAGTCCCCAAGGTCAATTGCACATGATGCAAATAAACGTTCCTACTAGGGATCCGACATGAGGCTGTGTTATTCTAAGTTTAAAACCTGGGTGTATTGTTCTAGACCTGGCTTACCCAAGAGGACAACTCAAGCCGGGGG